TCCTATCACTCCCCAACCCCCCTCCATCCCCTGCATCTCTAGTATCCTTAGGTTTGTTCTTTCCTTCTGAAAGTTCAATGTATTATTGTTGTCTTGTCTTTCTTTCTTTCTACTTATTTATCTTTCTTTCCTTCTTTCGTAGCACCCAGTTATGAGTAAGGATATGTGGTATTTCTCTTTCTGTGTCTGGCTTATTTCACTTAACATGATTTTCTCCAGGCTCATCCATGTTGCTGCAAATGGGAGAATTTCATTCTTTTTTATGGCTGAGAAGTTTTCCATTGTGTATATATACCACATTTTCCTTATCTAGTCGTCTGTGGATGGACATTTAAGTTGGGGCTGTCATCTGTCGATGGACATTTAAGTTGGTTCCATTTCTTGGCTATTTTAAATAGAGCTGTGACAAACATGGGAGTGCAGGTATCCCTTTGATATGATAATTACTGTTCCTTTGGATATATATATCCAATAGTGGGATTGCTGGATCATATGGTAGTTCTATCTGTAGTTGTGTGAGAAACCTCCATACTGTATTCCATAATGGCTGCACTAGTTTACAGTCGATCAACAGTGTAGAAGGGTTCCCCTTTCTCTGCATCCATGCCAGCATTTGAAATTTTTGCTTTGATCATGGCCAGTCTAACTGGGGTGAGATGATATCTCAATGTGGTTTTCATTTGCATTTCCCTGATGTTTAGTTATGTTGAGCATTTTTTCATGTACCTGTTGGCCATTCGTATGTCTTCCTTTGAAAAATGTATGTTCACCTCCCTTGCCCATTTCAAAAAAAATTATTTATTTATTTAGTATTATTATTATTTTACATTCTAAGATGTTGCAGAGCAATTTGGGGGAGGGGGAGGGAAAAGGGGAAGGAGGGTTGGTGTGGAATGGGGGGCGTGGTTGAGGCCTGTGGCTCCCTGGTCCGCTCATTCCGGCAGGGGAGCTCAGGGGACTTCTGGCGGCAGCTCAGTCGTGGCTTGGCTGGATATGGACTTTTGGGGTTGTGGTTGAGGCCTTTGGCAGCCCCCAACCCAGGAGCATGGGCGCTTCTCGTGGCGGCTCGGTGGTCATTGCTAAGCTGGAAGTGGATGTGGCGGTGGGAGGGTGCACGGCTGAGGCCCTCAGCCCCCCACTGCCCCAGCTAGGGGGCCTGAGGCGATTCCAGTGGCGGCTCAGTGGTTGTCACTGCTTTGCCCATTTTTTAATTGGATTATTTGTTTTTTTACTGTAGAGTTGTTTGAGCTCCTTATATATTCTAGATATTAATCCCTTGTTGGATGTATAGTTTGCAAATATTTTTTCCCATTCTGTACGTTGTGTTTCCACTCTGTTGATTGTTTTCTTTGCTGTGCAGAAGTTTTTTAGTTTGATATAATCCCACTTGTTTATTTTTTCTTTTGTTGCTTGTGCTTTTGGTGTCTTATTCATAAAGTCTTTGCCCAGTCCTGTTTCTTGGAGTGTTTCCCCTATGTTTTGTTTTAGTAATTTTATGGTGTCGGGTCTTATATTTAAGTCTTTAATCCATTTTTTTTTTTTTGTCTTTTTTTTTTCCGTGTCCGGCAACGGATTGCAACCCTCAGTGTTGCCCCCGTACTGGACCGGGACCGGCAACGGGATCGCAACCCTCGGTGTTGCCCCCGCGCCTCGCTCAGCCAGTGAGCAGGAACCGGTCTGTATGTGGGATCCGAACCCTCGGCGGGAGCGCCTCCACGCTTCCCAAGCAGCGCACTAGCACAGTGCGCCACCGGGCCGGCCTCTTTAATCCATTTTTGAGTTGATTTGGGTATATGGTGAGAGGTACAGGTCCAGTTTCATTCTTCTGCATATGGATGTTCAATTTTCCCAGCACCATTTATTGAAGAGGCAGTCTTTTTGCCAGTGTATGTTCTTGCTGCCTTTGTCAAAGATCAGTTGGCTGTAAGTATGTGGGTTGATTCCCAGGTTTTCTATTTGTTCCATTGATCTGATCATTTGTTTTTATGCCAGTACCATGCTGTTGTGGTTATAATAGCTTTATAATATAATTTGAAATTGTGTAGTGTTATGCCTCCAGCTTTATTTTTTTGCTGAGGATTGCTTGGGCTATTTGGGGTCTTTTGTTGTTCCACATGAATGTCAGGATTGTTTTTCCTATTTCTGTGAAGAATGTCATTGGTATTTTGATGAGGATTGCACTGAGTCTGTAGATCGCTTTGGGTAGAATGGACATTTTCAAGATGTTAATTTTTCCGATCTGAGTGCATGGACTGTCCATCCATCTTTTTCTGTCCTCTTTAATTTCTTTCTTTTTTTTTTCCTTTTTGTCTTTTTTCGTGACTGGTAATGGGATCGCAACCCTCGGTGTCACGCCCGCACCACGCTCAACCAGTGAGCAGACCGGTCTCTATATGGGATCCAAACCCTCGGCGGGAGCGCCGCTGCGCTCTGAAGCGCCGCACTCTACCAAGTGCACCACCGGGCCGGCCCTCTCTTTAATTTCTTTCAATAGTGTTTTGTACAGTGAGAGCTTTCAGACTTTCATCATTAAGTATGAAATTATCTGTGGTTCTTTTTGTAGATACCCTTTATCAGGTTGAGGAAGTTCTATTTCTAGTTTGTTGAGTGATTTTTTAAATTTGTATATATATATCATGAATGGGTGTTGAATTTTGTCAAATGCTCTTTCTGCATCTACTGAGAAAATCATGTGATGTTCATTCTTTATCATATTAATGTGGTGTATTACATTGATTGATTTTTGTATGTTGAACCCACCTGCATTTCTGAGATAGATCTCACTTGGTCATAGTATATAATCCTTTTTATATGTTGCTAGATTCTATGTACTTGTATTTTGTTGAAGATTTTTCATCTATATTCATCTATATTGGTCTATAGTTTTCTTTCCTTGTTATGTCTTTGTCTGGTTTTGTTATCAGAATATTGTTGGCCTCATAAGTTTATTCTCTTTTATTGCTGAGTAATATTCCATGCAGTGGATATACCACTGTCTGTTTAACCATTCATCTGCTGATGAACATTTGGGTTGTTTCTAGTTTTTTCCCTATTACAGCAAATCTGCAATGTATAAACTCATATTCCTCTCTCTTGCACACACATGTGAAGGAGTTTCTACAAGGGGCAGGAGATATCAGTCCATCTACCCATCTATCCATTCACCTACTCACTCACCTGTGCACCCACCTGCCTGGCTGCCTGCCTTTCTGTCTTTCTTCTTTCTTCCCTTCCTTCCTCCCATAAATCATCTCTCTCCAAACATACCAAGTCTGGGTCCAATACAAGCTGTCTCTTAAAATTAGGAAGGAAACCTGCAACAGCTTTTGGCAAAGCCTTTTTACTCACATCTTCACACTTCCTCTCTTCCCAGCATTTTTGGGCCTCCCTGGGGGTTTGCTCATAGGGTCTGGCTGAACTATCCTCTGGGGACTGCTTAGATACCAAAGTTCACAGACTAGGGGCTCCTTCAAGAGGCTCTCATACATGCCCTTTCCTGTGCCACTCACTCACGCATGTGCACACTCTCCTTCCTCCTTGTCTGACTCATTTGCCTGTGTCTCCTCTTGCTTCAGAACTGTAAATGTCCTCGGGCCTCTTCTCTAGCTCACATTTTCTCTCTTGGTGAACTCATCCAGTCTCTCTAGCTTCAGAATATCTCCAGAATCTAACCTTTTTTTTTGGTGGCTGGCTGGTATGGGGATCGGAACCCTTGACCTTCTTGACCTTGGTGTTATAATACTGTGCTCTAACCAACTGAGTAACTGGTGAAACCTGTGAATCTAACCACTTTCTTTTTTATCACCTCCCCTGCCACCACAGTCATGGCTCACCTGGACTGCTGCAGTGGTCTCCTCATCACTGGTCCCATGCTTCTGCCTTCACCCCCCACAGTCTATTTCCCACAAAGCAACCAGAGGAAGCCTGTTAAAATCCTAAGTCAGATCCCGTTTCTCCTCTGTTCATGACCCTCCTGTGGCTCCCCTCACTCAGAGTAAAAGCCAAGGCCCTCACCATGTCCCTCGAGGCCCTCCCCCATGTGACCCCCTCACTCCTCCCACCACCTCCTCACTGTTCCTCACACACACCAGATACATGCATGCCTCAGCGCCTTTGTACTGACTGTGCTCTCTGCATGCTGTGCTCTGCCTCCAGACAGCCCTGTGGCTCATTCTCTCACTTTTTCAGGTTTGTGCTCAAATGTCTTCTCAGCCAGGCTTCTTGGACCATCCCATTAAACATTGTGAACTGCCCCGGCAATTTTTATCTGTATTCCATCTTTTCCGTGTTTTCTTTTTCTCCATACTTAATATTTTAGTTACTTGATTTTATTATATTATTTCTCATTAGAATGGCAGCTCCACAAACATAGATATGCTTAGCTCTTTCATTTGACACTGTCTCTCCAATGCCTAGAACAGGGCCTAGCACACAGCAGATGCTCAGTAGACATTTTTTTTAGCTGACTGAATGAGTGAATAGTGTGGTGGTGATGGAGGGGGACAGAAACAGAGGAATCTTGACCTTGTCCCACCTACTCTGTCAGGAGCTGAGCCTCAATTGAGATGAGTCTGCGCCTACCAGATCCAAAGGTAGAAAGTGCTGAATACCCTGGGAGTGAGACCAGAGGAGGCTCTGCAGGAGGAGGTAGCATCATCTGGGCTGGTTCTGGAAGGTCCCATGAGAATCACAGAGATCCTGGGGTCCAGTGAGGCCCATGGGGTGGAGGAAGCAGCAGGCAGCGGGTGGAGGAAGCAGCAGGCAGCGGGTAGAGGAAACAGCAGGCAGCAGCTGGAGGAGTTAGGTGAGTTAGAAAAGGATGAAGAAGGATGGGTTCACTGATCAGGAGAAATCTGTCAGATGTCTTGAATCCCAGAGTGACGACTGTGGATTTGGTCCTCAGTGATGTCATACCCTGGTCACAGACCTCTCAACAGCTCAGAGATCTCACACCCTAGACAAACACCCCTACACAGCACCAAGACAATCATAGTGAAGAGTTCATATTAACTGAGAGACTATTCATTTATTGGGGCAGCCTGGATGGAGGACATCAGACATGTAGGTTTGGTCCAAACCTGTCTCTGGCTCCTCCAGCAGGATGTGTGAAGTGCTAGTCCTTGGAGGTCTCTGGGCCTGGACAAGGGTTTGCAGGAAGGAAGGGAGAGGGCGACATCATGGGAGATGGAATGGAGGAGGGCCAGTCTCCATCACGAGGAGATGTAGTTGGACACCTCAATCAGATTTCTGTCGGGATCTCGGAAGTAGATGGACATAATAGGTCCTTTTGCCCCCGTCCTGGGCACTGGACCCTCTTCAATGGGGACATTACAAGCCTGAAGTGGAAGAAGACAAAAGTCATTCACCACATCCATGTGTAAGACCAGAATTTAATCCCTTATAGTGGCTTCGAGGACCCTAGAACACCCCTGTATCTTTTTGACCTCATCTCCTGCCATTCTTCCTTCCCTCATCCTGCTCCAGCCACTTATCAGCTGTATGGCCTTGGGCAAACTACCTGACTGCCCCATGCCTCAGTTTCCTCATCTGTAAAATGGGGACAATAATAGTACCTAGTATTATCTAGTAAGTGGCAGAGCCAGAATTCAAACCTGAGCAGTCTGGACCAAAGTCCATACTCTTAACCCCTAAGCTTTACCCACTTTTCTTCCAAACCAGTCTTTTTCACTGATACTTCCCAAAGAAGGAGTCCATTTTATTTGCACAGAATATATTCAAGACCTGGATCTGTGTTCTGCAAAAAGGAAACCGATGCCCCCTTTACATGAAATCATCTTAAGTGTTACAGAGACATCAAATTAAATAACAGCAAATCAGCACTTATTCCCTCTTCAATCCTCTTTCAATCCTTCTTATTATACCAAGAAGAAAGTCTGTGGTGGATGCTTACAAGTCCTTAGTATCTCCTTCACCACCTGCCAAATCTCTCTTTGTAATGTCAGGCCCAGAGAGTTCAGGGAATGGAAGTGGCTAGAATCTAATGACATTGTTATGCTTTTATAGCTGTTGTTTTTTGCAGTTACTTTCCCTTTATACCAAGATATAATGGGATTTTCATATACAGATGCTCCTTGAGTTTCGATGGGGCTATGTCCTGATAAACCCATCATAAATTGAAATATCTTAAGTGGAAAGTGCATTTAATGCTGGCAGCACAGCAGATGGTAAGGTCCTTAACTTAAGATGGTTTGACTTAAAATTTTTTGACTTTACAATGATGTGAAAACAATTCGCCTTTAGTAGAAACTGCAGCCCTATTATAAGTCGTAAGGAGCTCCTTGATTTACAATGGGGTTACCTCCCGATAAACCCAATGTAAAGTCAAAAATTCATAAGTAGAACCATCGTAAGTTGGGGACCATCTGTATTTGGCTGAACGTATATAAATGTATTTATTTAAAAGAATTTAGGTATAATTTTTTATATGAGTGATGTAAAGTTTCCTTTTAAAATGTTTGTTTACATGAAAAAATGATATCAACCAAAATAATGAAGTAAATAATTGTGTCCAGGCATTACCTGGAGGTGATGAAACTGGTTATGTCTGAAGTTTGAGGCAGACCTCCCTGGGCCCTACTTCTGTATTCACTGTGTCTTCAGCAGCCTTCTCAAAAACTCAGAAGTCCCACTCACCTTGAGGTACTGGATCATTTCCTCCAAAGGCATCTTTGTGATCAGACATATGTCCAGGGAGCCAGGAACTGGGTGAGCAGCTTTGGGTTCAAATTCCTTTCCCACCTCATGAAGGTTAAATTTCTGGTCTCCAAAACACAATGCTTTCCGGTTACCCTATTGGGGGAGAGAAAACAATCTAGAACTAAACCTCCAAGATGAGTGTGAGTTAAAGACCCACTACTTACCCCAACAAGGTTAAAAAAAAAAAGTAGAATAGGGCTACTAACCAACAGCCCCTTGCTCCACCCAAGTCTCATTCCCTAGAGGCAACTGCTTTTAATGTTCATTTTGTGTATTTATTTCTTCTCAAAATTATTTCCATATCTCCAAATAACTATGTTTATATCACCCATGGCAGAGATAGCAATTTGCCTGCAATAAACATATCCTCCTTTTTTCTTATAAACACGGCCTAAATTTCATTGGGGTCAACTGTGTGCCCAGCTTTAAAAGGCTACATTTCCGGGCCGGCTCGGTGGCACACTGCTACAGTGCACTGCTTGGGAGTGCAGTGGCGCTCCCGCCGAGGGTTCGGATCCCACATACAGACTGGTTCCCGCTCACTGGCTGAGCGAGATGCAGGCGCAGCACCGAGGGTTGCGATCCCGTTGCCGGTCCCGGTCCAGTACGGGCGTGACACTGAGGGTTGCGATTCGTTGCTGGACACGAAAAAAGACAAAAAAAAAAAGGCTACATTTCCCAGCATTCCTTGTTGGGAGGCCATGTAAGGGAAGCCAAGTGGATGGTCTAGACAATGTGATGTAGGGTAGGCAGAGGTCGTGGTGCGGCTTCTGGGAACCTCCCTGCCCCACTGAGCTGGCCCTTTTTGCCCACTCATTTCCTCCTTCTTCCCAGCCGCTGCCTGAGCCCTGACTGCCTACCTCTGGACTGCATGTTCAATGAGAGAAAAAGAAAACTCTGTCTTATTTAACCCACTGTTAGTTGAGTTTTCTCCTATATGCCTCCAAACACAATCCCTAACTGATGTACCATTATTTCTTGATTTAGCAACTTTACATCTTCTCTATCAGCTCCCTGCTATGGTAAGTGAGGATTTAGCTCATCCTCATCCCTACCCCTCCAAACAGAATTCTGTCATCATTTTCAGTTCCTCTTTTGGCTCCTTTACAATTTTTGAGTAACCCACTTGCATGTTTTTATTTTTTTGCATATTTATTTTTTGATAGATCAACTACAGATGGTATCTTTTTTTTTTTTTTGCGGCTGGCCTGTATGGGGATCAGAACCCTTGACTTTGGTGTTACAAGGCCATACTCCAACCAATTGAACTAACCAGCCAGCCTCCCTACAGATGGTATCTTGTCAGCCTTGCTGTCCTCTTCATGCCTCCTCCCTCTCCTGTACTTCATCACAACTTCTGCTATTTCTTTTATAATTTTTCTGTCTCTTTTATATCAGCATAACTGATACCACATCCATTCTACAGAAAATGGCTTTATTTAACTTTTACACCTGAACAATAGTTTGCCTCAGTATAGAATTCTAGGTTGCAGGTTATTTTCCCCACAGCCTTTGAAATACGTGGCTTCATTGTCTTCCCTGAATCTGATGTTGCTGATAAGTCTGATGTTAAGCCGGTTTTCATTCTTTTGTTGGTAATACATCCACCTTCCACTCCTGCAGCTTTTAGGACTTTTCTAGACCCTAGATGTTCTGAAATTTCACTCCAGTGTGTCTGAATACATTATCATCATTGGCCCATGCAAGGCCTGCCTCTTGTTGTATTTATGCACTTAATCTTTTTCTTTTTTTTATTTTATTTTTATTTTTATTTTTTTTCCTTTTTGTCTTTTTTCATGTCCGGCAACGGATTGCAACCCTCAGTGTCGCGCCCGTACTGGACCGGGACCGGCAACGGGATTGCAACCCTCGGTGCTGCGCCCACACCTCGCTCAGCCAGTGAGTGGGAACCGGTCTGTATGTGGGATCCGAACCCTCGACGGGAGCGCCGCCGCGCTCCCAAGCAGCGCACTGTAGCAGTGCGCCACCGGGCCGGCCCCTGTACTTAATCTTTTTCTCTCCATTCTCCATTCCTGTCCCCACCTCACACAACCATTATGATGTGTTGGATGTGCAGCCTATGGTTTACATAAGTTATTGTAAAAAGTATATTATTGTTTCATGGGCGTTTGTTCTAAATGGTACTATGCTGCAGACCTGATTCTGTTTCTTCATCTTTCAGTCTGCATGATCCTTTTAAGACCTGTCCATGTTGCAGTGCATACATCCAGTCTGATGTTGCATAACACATTTTTCTGCATAGTGTTCCATGTTAGTTTTAAAATTTTTACCCTGCTTGTTATTCCATGGGCCCTTTCAATTTCACTTATATATGAGGGTACTTCAAAAAGTTCATGGAAAGATGTGTATTATCTTTTAATTCTATTTTTCCATGTTTTTTTGCTGTACCCTCGTGTGTGTGTGTGTGTGTGTGTGTGTTAGAGCAATTTTAGGTTCACAGCAAAATTGAGAGGAAGGTACAGAAATTTCCTATATACCCCCTGCCCCACACATGTACAGCCTCCCCCGTTATCAACATCCCCCACCAGAGTTGTGTATTTGTTACAATCAATGAACCTACATTGACATATCATTATCACCGAAACTCCTTAGGTGACCCTTAGGATTCATTATTCGTATTGTACATTCTATGGGCTTGGATAAATGTGTAATGACTTATATCTACCATTATAGTATCATACGAGTAGTTTTACTGCCCCCAAATCCTCCATGCTCCGCCTATTCATCCCTCCCTCCCACTAACCCCTGGCAATCACTGATCTTTTTACTATTTATATAGTTTTTCCTTTTTCAGAATATCATATAGTTGGTATCATACAATATGTAGCCTTTTCAGATTGGTTTCTTTCACTTAGTAATATGCATTTAAGTTTCCATGTCTTTTCATGGCCTCATAGCTCATTTCTTTTTATCGCTGAGTAACATTCCATTGTCTGGATGTACCACAGTTTATCCATTTACCTGCTGAAGGACATCTTGGTAAAACACATTTTTTTTTTTTTTTGCTTTCTCTGCATATACCGCTTTTGAAGTTGTTCCAAATTCTTAAGGATAGTATCCAACCTCGGAAATCTTTTTTCCTTGGATCTCTCCTTCCTGGGACATTTCTTTCTCCTGTTCCAACCTGGACTGATTGTTCTCTAAGTATCTTTCCGGGATCATCCTCTTGGGATCCACTGCATCCTGCCTTCTGTGTCTTCCTTTTTCCTAGTGTAATCACTCATTTTTCCCCTCAAGCATACCCTCAAGTAATTTTCAAAGCAAGTGGGCAAATTTCTTGAGATTTTTATATCTAAGAATGCTTTATTCTACACTTACATTTGATTAATAGTTTGGTTGAGCAAACTAATTCAACCAAACTAATTCTAGGTTGAAATTTTTTTCTTCTGAACCTTTAAGGTGTCCTTCTATTGTCTTCTGGTCTTTGGTGTGACTCTTACAAACTCTCATATTTGCATGTTTCTTTTTTCTTTGTAGATGGTCTACTTTTTAATCTCTCTGAAAGCTCTCAGGATCAACTTTTTCAGTTTGATGTTCTATAATTTCATAAGAATATATCTAAGTGTCAGTGTGCTGGGTACTCAGCTAACCCTTTCCATATAAACACTGCAAAGTTCTCTCACATTATTTGTATGATCATTTCCTCCACTGCTTTTTCTCCATTTTCTCTCTGGAAGTCCCACTCTTTAGAGTTTGGAATCTCCTCCATTGATCCTTTTTTTATCTTTTCTCTCAGATTTCCTGTTTTTGTTCTTGGAGTTAAGTTATATTTTAAAGTGTTACAATCAAATTTTAGTTCAGCTGCAGTTTGGCATTTGGGGAAGTGGTTACCTTGAAAGTTGTGACCTCCATGCCCAGGATCTTGGAATAAAACGTGGTGGTATCTTTGATGCTCTTTACTGTCATCACAATGTGGTCAAGTCTATGGATAAGACATGGGGAAGTGGTCTGACTACTGTCTCTCCGTGACTGGGGGGGGGGGAAAATTTTAGTTCAGCTGCAGTTTGGCATTTGGGGAAGTGGTTACCTTGAAAGTTGTGACCTCCATGCCCAGGATCTTGGAATAAAACGTGGTGGTATCTTTGATGCTCTTTACTGTCATCACAATGTGGTCAAGTCTATGGATAAGACATGGGGAAGTGGTCTGACTACTGTCTCTCCGTGGCTGGGGGGGGGGGATTCAAAACAGTAGAGCATGGGGGAGTCAGAAATGATCACATTGCCACTGGTCACTCCCGTGTTCCCTTCTCCTTACCTCCCCTCACCTCTCCAATTACTATACTTCCTCCCCATCCCCATTTCAAAGGGAAAATTCCACAAAACTTTAGTAGACTCTATTGCCTGTGCGTGGATTTGCAAGAGTCCACGTGTCTGCCATGACCACGCTCCACTGTTTTCTTGTTGTCTTTCTCCTTCCAGAGGAGGCCAAAGGAGAGAGGGCATCAAACTGGAATTCATTTCTCTTCCAAGAAATGGCAAGACAAAGAAGGAGGTCCAACCCTATGAGCACATGCCCCCCATTGGCCAATGTTACCCAGGTCCTCCTTTCCCACTCTGCAGGTGTGATCACAGAAGTGAGCATCTCAGATGAAATAAATGTTTCTGGCCAGGTGTGTTTACAGACCTACCTTGACACCCAGTGGAAGACTTACCTGCCCTGCCTTCCATTCTCCACCCTGAGCATCCTTCCCACCAGATCTTTCTCTTGACTTGCATTCTTTAGTAATTTGTATATTTGCATTACAACTGCTACAGGATCATAACATGCGTGTGGTCTGGCACTAAAGGTAGCAGAGTACAGTGATTAAAAGACTCTGGAGCCAGACTGACATTTAATTAATCTCTTCGTGCCTTGGTTTTCCCTTCTATGAAATAGGCATAATTTTATATATGAGTTTCCAGTTTGGAGAAAACAAGGGAGGGTTTGGTCTCGGTCTTCACTCCCCTAATCTTCACCTCTACCCCTCTGGAAGGAGAAAGACAGCAAGAAAACAGTGGAGCGTGGTCATGGCAGATACATATCTTACAGGATTGTTGTGAAGATTTCTAAAAAGTCAGGGGCCAGCTGGTTAGCTCATTTGGTTAGAGCATGGTGTTGTAACTAACACCAAGGTCAAGGATTCAGATCCCAGTACTGGCCAGCCGCCAAAAAAAAAAAAAAAAGGATTGTATTTTTAAGGGCTTAGAACAATGCCTGACAGATATCAAGTACTATGAAAGGGTTAATGCTGTTGCTGTTGCTGCTGCTGCTGCTGCTGCTGCTGGGAATCCAGACATTTTACCATGACCCCTAATCTCTACAGTCTCATCTATTGTTCCTTTTTTTTTTTTTTAAGAGATACTTTAGTGTTTATGTAGGCAGATCTGGGAAAGGTTTGGCACTCCAAGAACAGTGGAGGAAGAGATAAGTGTCACATTGAGTCATTCTACTAGTACATCTTAATTGCATCATCCATTGTTCTTGAACTCCAAGCCACACTGTCCTTTTGCCTATTCCTCATAAGGGCTATTCATTTACCTTTTAGCCTCACGGCCTTTGCACGAGCTAATACCTGTCTTCCTGAACAGAATGTAAGCTTCATAAAAGCAGGCTTTTCTTCCTGTTTTGTTCCCCACTGTTTCCCAAACAGCTAGTTCAATGGTGTTTGTTCAATTAATGAATATCTGCTACAATAATTAGGTGTGATGCTTGGCACATATTCTGACTACTATTCTATTCTATCCTATTCCATTCCATTCCATTTCTACTCTACCCTGTGTTATTTTCTGTTCCACTGTGTTAAATTCCAGTCAAACCAGTACATTTTAAACAATTGATTTCAATGAACCCCAGCTAAAAAAATACTGTGTGGTTCTATTTTCATGAGTGGAGGAGGCATTGGCAAAGTTGCTGAGTTCTGCTCTCCTCCTATATACAGAAGATCCACATGGACACAGAAGCAGTGGAATGAGAAAATTATTGATATTTGGGCTCCATTGAAAGTAAAGTTATATGTTTAAAAATATCAACCTTTAAATGTCTGTAGAATCTGTAATAACACCCCCTTTTCATTCCTGATATCCGTTATTTATATTTTTCTCTTAATTTCTTAGGAGAAAACAGAAATTACTAATATTTTATTAATCTTTTCAAGGAATCAACTTTTGGCATTGTTGATTTTCTCTATTGTATGTTTACTTTCTATTTCACCAGTTTCTGCTCTTATCTTTATAATTCCCTTCTACTTTCTTAATGTTCAATTTCTATTCCTTTTCCAGCTTCTTTTTTTTTTTTTTTTTTTTTCTTTTTGAGACCGGCTGCACTGCGCTCAGCCAGTGAGGGCACCGGGCATCCCTATATAGGATCCGAACCCGCGGCGGGAGCGCTGCTGTGCTCCCAGTGCTGCACTCTCCCGAGTGCGCCACGGGCTCGGCCCCTTTTCCAGCTTCTTGATATGAAAGCTCAGGTAATGGATTTTTGAGTTTTCTACTTTTCTGATCTTTGCATTTAGAGCTTCAGATTTCCCCTAAGTACTGCTTTAGCCGCATTCTCCCAATTTTGATAGTCTATTTTGATAGTCAACCAATTCCTCCCATTATTCAATGCCCTGCCAACTCAGACTCACTCCTCAGATCCTGCTTGGAAAATCCAAGTTTGAGCACGGATGGCTCTCTTAAGGAACAGGAAGAAGGCTGGAATGGCTTAGAATCCAAGAGTGAGTGAGGGATAAGGGGGAGGGGAAGGCAGGGGCCAGATCATGCAGATCTTGGAGGTGAAGTTACAGAGCCTGCTTTGTAAAAGATGACCAAGCCATAGTAATCATAAGGCTTGCTGTGTGCCAAGCCCCACTGTAAATGCTATACAAAATATAATCCATTTCATTTCTCATAACAGCCCTATACAATAGGTATGGTCAGAGTACCCAGAACATGATGCCCTCTCTCCTTTGGCCTCCTCTACAGGGAAGGATTCTACCGTCCCACAGTCCTCTTCAAGGTCCCCTTCAGGCTGTGGGGGCCCCTGCATTCTTCTTGCAAACCTCAAGGTCAGCACTGTGTTTCTTGGCTCCTCCCCACATACCCTATCATGATAGCCTCAGGGAAGTGCCCCATAAGCTACCTTTGTGTCTCTCCACCTGTTCCTGGCTGAACTGGCTCCCCCTGAGCCACCCAGAGGGAGCAGCCACCCTCAGCGCAGTCCCCCCCCACCCACCCAGTGCAGTCCCACCCCTGCAGACACATGGACCAGGCCCTCCATGGGTTAGAGCAGGGCCTTTCTGTGTGCCTCTGCTGCCCTCTGCTTGTCTTTGAAAGAGGACGAGGGAGGAGGACAGGGAAATGGAGGTCAGCGCACCAGGGGAGCCGACCGAGGAGAACAGGTTACCAGACCTGGGCTGGAGGATCCCCAGCCTCGGTGCCAACACCCATGCCCCAGACCCCCAGGGCAACCCCGTTCACCTGTTTTTCTACAGTCCCATCCCATCTTCTGACTGGCAGCCTGGAGGTCAGACGACGCAGCATGGTAGGGTAGGTGTCCTTGTCTTGGGGCCTCCAGACAACCTTCTGGCTCAGTGTTTGGAGATCAAGGGGCAGGAATGGGAGGCCACAGGCTGAGGACTGTGGGTGGAGACAGGGGTAGGTGGTGCAATTGCAAGGACTCTGACGTGAAACTCTGACGTTTTGCCTTGAAAGCAAAAGCTTAAGGTGGATTGTATAAGGGGTTACTTCTTAAGACGACAGGAAAATCACCCATCCTGATGTATGGAGGGGACCTTTATTTTAGGGTATGAGGCCTCCCTCTGGTCTACTTAAGGGTGTGTCTCCAGAGTGTGAAATCTCAGATCTCTTTGGGAGTCTCTGTCCAGGGTGTGCAGTTATGAGCTGAGTTAGGGTACGACCACTCTGACTTATTATGGGTCTGTTTCTGTGCCAAGATCTCTAAGCTATTAAGAGTTCTATGTCCCAGGGTGTGAAGTTTCTGGATTCTCCTGGAGCATGAGATCTGGAGTCTTCCCCATGACCACTGACCCCTCACCCCATTCTCACCCTCCATTGCTTAGAGTCAAGGACATTCTTCTGCCCCATTGCTGTTCACCTCACCCTGAGCTGAGCCCCCTTCTCTCTTGCAGGTTACCTGTCTGGCCCCTAGGGCATGTGAATTTGAGATTCTCATCTGTAGACACACCCTAGTTACCCCCAACATAAATACTCTGCTGTAGATATTGTTTTTGAGCATGTGATTTTCTTTTAAAAAGAGTTATGCAAATAATACATGAATACAGGTTTGTATATGAGTTTTGAACAACACATCAGTACATGGACTATACAGGTCATCCCCATCCCTTGTTCCCAAAAATGATCACTGGGGTCAGTTCCTGGTGTTTGCTTCCAGACACTTTTCTCTATGTTTCCATAGTGTGTGTGCACATGTATACACATGGTCACCATAACCAACTTCCACTTGCTTTTCCCTGTTAACAGTGAGTCCTGTAGAAAGCTCCCTGCCGCAAGTACATGCAGGTCCCACCCATTCTGAATCATGTGCTCCATGGTATAACATGAACCCCATCATTTGTTTCACTCTGCAGTAGTCATTGGGTATAAATGGGCATTTACAAGATTTTCCCAATTGTTTGCTCCTACCAGCCTTATGCACACAGCTGTGTGCACATACAGGAGTGTTCAAGTCAGAAGTGAAATTGCTGGGTGTATTAGTCAAAGTTCTGCAGAGAAAAAGAACAATAGGAAATACAAAATTAATATTTTTTATAAGGAATTGGCTCAGGTGATTATGGAGGCTGAGAAGTCCCATGATCTGCCATCAGAATCTGGAGACCCAGGAGAGCCAGTGGTATAGTGCTGATGGTATAAGTCCCAGTCAGTGGAAGAAGACTAATGTCCCAGCTCAAGCAGTCAGGCAGAGAGAGCAAATTCCCCCTTCCTCCACCTTTTTATTCTATTCAGACCTTCAATAGATTGAATGATGCCCACCCACATTGAGGAGAGCCATCTGCTTCACTCAGTCTACCAATTCAAATGCTAATCTCATCTGAAAACACCCTCACAGATACCCCCAGAAATAATGTTTAATCAGGGCACCCATGTCCTAGTCAAGTAGGTGTAAAATTAACCATCACAAGTTCACCTTGTCAATTTAGCACTCATACTTAATCTCCAAATGAAGACAATAAAAAGGTCACAATTCCATCTAACATGACATAACTATCCTGCGTACAAATGAAAATGCACTAACCCCTTCCCCAGAAAAGGAGGTAAAGTCCTTGAGCAATGTTTACTCTTCTTGATATCCTGTAACTTAAATACCATGATTTAAAAACAACAGTACTTAAATACTATGATTTAAAGTCAACATGTCTTATGTTACCTGATAAGGTAATAACAGAGAAAAGAAAACAAAGATATTTGCTACACACACACACACACACACACACACACACACACACACACTCACACACACACACACGAACGTGTTCATGGCAAAACAAGAAGGAAATACTCATGACAATTACAATCCTAGTTTCTGTAACTAGTCATGTGGTTGTACCTGGTATTCACAGCTACCATCTTCCACTACCCATTCTGTAATCTCTTTTCCTTCAGCAAGCATCTCAGCTGGTCATGGATTTTTTTACCTGGTGGGGTAACCCAAACCTTCATTCCTGAAGGGTATGGGCCATTTATAGTCCTGTGTGGATTGGATGATTGCAGTTTTCCATTGATTTTAATCACAGGGCATGGTAGTACTAAGAGATGCGCTAAGGGTTCTCCTATGTTCCAGACATACTCTTCCTCACATCCGTTATGGAGTAGCAGTCCAATATTCCCTAGGTAGTCAGGTTGAATTGCTCCAGCCAACACTGTAGCTCCCTTTTTGGTCTGTTGATTCAGGGATACGAGGAGACAAAAGTAGCTTGGTGGCAGCCTTAACTTCCAGTTCAATGAAATCATTGTTGTGTCTCCTGGTGGAAGCATTCCTCCCTCTGGAACTAAGATCTCTATGCCAGTAGTATTAAGTAGTGGGAAGAGGAAGCAAAATATTTGCTAGAGGGTCACTAGGGATAATGGTGAGTGGCGCCACTGACATTTCTACCCATTGATTCCTGGACCTGTAATCCTGCTACGGGAGAAAGAGCATTATATACTGGACACTGATTCAGAGCATATATTGCCTCCTGGAGAATCTTGCCCCAGCCCTGCAAGGTATTGCCACCTAGTTGGCACTGTAACTGAGTCTCTAGGAGGCCATTCCACTATTTTATCAAGCAAGCTGCCTCAGGATGGTAAGGAACATGGTAACACCAGTGAATTCCATTAGAATGAGCCCATTGCCACAGTTCATTGCCTGTGAAATGAGTTTCTTGTTCAGAGGCAATGCCTTGTGGAATACCATGACAGTGGATAAGGCACTCTGTGAGTCCACAGATGGTAGTTTTGACAGAAGCATTGTGTGCACAGAAGACAAATCTGGGTTTTTTTGTTTTTTTCTTTTCTGGCAGCTGGTCAGTAGGGGATCTGAACCCTTAATCTTGGTGTTATCACACCATGCTCTAACGAAGTGAGCTAACTGGCTAGCCCAGAAGTCTGTATTCAAAGTGTCTGTTCCAGTAAGAACAGAACACTGCATCTTCCATGATAGAAGTCATCCGATGTAATCAACCTGCCATCAGGTACCTGGCTGATCACCATGGGGAATGGTGCCATATCCAGGACTCAGTGTTGGTCTCTGCTACTGGCAGAATGGGCACTCAGCAGTGGCCATAGCCAGATTGGCCTTGGTGAGTAGAAGTCCATGTTGCTGAGCCCATGTGTAACCTCCATCCCCACTACCATGGCCACTTTGTTCATGAGCTCTTTGGGTGATGACAGGGGTGGCTGGGGAAAGTGGTTCGCTGGTATCAACAGAATGGGTCATCCTATCTACTTAATTATTAAAATCCTCTTCTGCTGAGATCATCCTTTGGTGAGCATTTATGTGGGACACAAATAACTTCATGTTTTTTGCCCAGAGAGGTCTGTCTACACACTTCTTCCCCAAATTTTCTTGTTACCAATTTTCTAATCATGTTCCTTCCAAGTCCCTGACCATCCGGCCAAACCGTTGAATTGGTATAGCCCATGAATTGGTATATAATCGCACAATTGGCCATTTCTCCTTCCAAGCAAAATGCACAATCAGATACACTGTCCGAAGTTCTGCCGATTGAGAAGATTTCCCTTCACCACTGTCCTTCAGGGATATCCCAGAAAGGGACTGTAGTGCCACAGCTGTCTGCTTTTGGGTGGCACCTGCATATCATGCAGAACCATCTGTAAACCAGGCCGTAGTCTTCTTGTCCTCTGTTAACTGATCATAAGTCCGCATGAGGCCATAGGTGCAGGCTAGGGGAGAGAAGGCAGTGTAGCAGAACTGGGGACTATGGGCACTTGGGTCACTTCTTCATGTAACTTACTTGTGTCTTCAGGACCTGCTCAGGTTCAATCACTTATTTACCACTTCCACTTGGTGGTGGAGTGCTGCTGTGCATGCTCCACTTTATGGCTTGCTGGGTCAGATAACACCCAGTTCATGATGGGCAGCTCAGGTCACATGGTAACTTGGTGGCCCATGGTTAAGTGTTCAGTCTCTGCTGAGGCCCAGTAGCAGACCAAGAGCAGATCTGAAAAGGATATTAGTTATACACAGAGGATAGTAGGGCCTTCCTCCAATATCCTAAGGGCCTGCGCTGAGACGCGCCTGCGGGGCCCTGCCAAAGGCTCCAAACAGCATCTCTACCTGCCACTGACATGTCAAGCACCATTTGGTCTTCTGGAACATATGGCCCAAGGGGAAGAGCAGCTTGCACAGCAGCCTGAACCTATTGCAGAGCCTCCTCTTGTTCTGGGCCCCACCTAAACCAAGCAGTTTTTTTTGCTCACTCAGTAAATGGGCCAGAGTAACACACCCAAATGAGGAATATGTTGCCTCCAAAATCTTAAGAGGCAAATTAGGCATTGTGCTCCTTTCTTCGTTGTAGGAGGGGCCAGCTGCAGCAACTTATCCTTCACCTTAGAAGGGATATCTTGACATGCTCCACACCACTGGACCCCTAGAAATTTCACTGAGATGGAAGACCCCTGAAGTTTTGTCAAATTTCCTACCCCTCTGCCTTGCAATATCTTAGGAATAAGTCTAGAATAGTTGCTACTTCTGGCTCACTAGGTCCAATCAGCATAATATCATCAATGTAATGGACCAGTGTGATATCTTGTGGAAAGGAAAGGTGATCAAAATCCCTGTCAACTAAATTGTGACACAGGGCTGGAAGTACAGTGAAGGTAAAGTACAGTGAAGTTGCATTGCTGGCCTAGCCATTTGAAAGCAAACTGCTTCTGGTAGCCCTTATGGTCAGGGAAGGAGAAAGAGGCACCTGCCAGATCAATAGCTGTATATCAAGTACCAGGGGGGTATATTAATTTGCTCAAGCAATAAAACCACATTCGGTACAGCAGCTGCAATTGGAGTTACCACCTGGTTAAGCTTATGATACTCCACTGTCATTCTCCAAGATACATCTGTCTTCTGCACAGGAGAAATAGGAGAGTTGAATGGGATGTGGTGGGAATC